TTACTGCTGTGGTGCATCGTCCCTGATGGATTAAGGAAAAATTTAAGTAGCTGTGATGTGGCATTTTATAGAAATAGAAAAAGTAAAAACACAAGATTGCGTTATAAGTGAGAGATGGTGTGTATATTTTTTCAAAAGGATCATGTTATCTATAAGATCATTGATTGCCTTTAACACAAGAATATGACTCTGTAAAAAGTCTTTGTTAGGAGGTGAACATTCATGCATTATTAGTACCATTGAGCGTTCATGTAACTGTTATGCACTTCCTTGCGTCCTGATTAGTTTTTTGTTATGGTTTATACTGTTTATGCGCAAGGGCGATACCATTCCATTTTTCCAGCTTCTATATTGGTAGCCTGCATGATCTAAGCTGTAATTATTTAATTGCATTGGACATAAAATGTGTGTCATAACTTGCCTGATTTTCTATCCTTGGCAGCTGGAGGTTTGGGCGAAGGAAAGAGAAGCTGCTGGACTGCGTGCTGGTTTGAATACATTGTTGTCAGAAGTGAACCGCTTGGAGAAATTATGTGCTGAGAGAAAGGAGGCTGAAAATTCTTTAAGAAAGAAGTGGAAAAAGATTGAAGAGTTTGATGCTCGCAGATCCGAGTTGGAGTTGATCTACAAAGTTTTACTGAAAGCAAATATGGTAAGATGCTTGCCCATTTACGTTCACGGCACCAGAATGTGAACACACATTTTGCATTCCCTTCTGAAGTGTGACAGGAATAGGTTTGCTAGGCATCTGAAGAGTAATTTGTAGAATAAGGCTGAGCATTTATGCTTATTTATTAAACTGTGTCATAGTTCCTTGAAGTAAAACCAGAACACGTGCTGTACGCATGAGTCCAGTGAGATTTTTGTTTAAAAGACATTAAATGGAAAGAACAAAAATGAGAAGCAGATATCAGATATCATATCTTGTGATAGACTAGTATAGAGTGAACTTACGCATAATTTTGGGGGTGATGATAATTTCAGTAGAAAAAAAATATTTCATTAATAATTTATTTTATATAGCACTAAAGATATATTATTTTCATACAAAATTTCAGGGGTGATGGAATCCTAAGATCGTGGTTTGATCCATTTATTGAATTCCATAACATAGTTTCTGCATTTAAGTAGACGCACTCGCATTTGAAGTTTAGCAGACTGGCATCTATGTGCATATCTATGTTTTATCGCTAATTCCTTTCCATCACTTTTTTTGCTATTTTCTTGGTAGGATGCTGCTTCTTTTTGGAGCCAGCAGCCGTTAACTGCAAGGGAGTATGCATCAAGCACTATAATTCCTGCGTGCAATGTTGCCATGGACTTGTCGAATAATGCACAAGATCTCATTGATAAGGAAGTTTCAGCCTTCTATCGAACTCCTGACAATAGCATTTACATGCTTCCATCAACTCCTCAGGTTTGTGTTATGTTGCCAGTTTGAAAGAAACACAATTTCTTGTAATATCGGTTACCTCATCAAAAGTGGAAGCACTGTTATCTGGGTATTCACTTACATTATTTTGCTTGTTGAAGTTGGTATTTTTGTCATGCCTTGGGTTCTACTATAGAATTGCTCAATGACTTTGACTTTAAAGTTAAGTTGTTTTTCCCTTTCTGCTGCACTTTGATCTGGCATCGAGACTTTGGGCGAAATGCTTAACTGCAGTCATTTATGATCAGTTTAAGTTCACATATCCATTGAAAAAAAAGTCTCCTTTGTGAAAAATCTTGGCCTCCTATTTCAATCTCTCATTCTGTATTACTAGTTTGAAACAGGACGTATACATACCAAATTATGTGTTTGGGTTTGTCAAAGGAGTCTTGGGACTTCTCGTTCCTGGTAGTAAAAGTCTGAAAGACATTTTTTGATAGATAATAGGCTTATTTATTCAACTGTACTTCTGCTATATTCAGTTTTCTGTTTTCATGCATCCTTTTAATTTTGTTCAGGCACTCTTGGAGTCAATGGGTTCAAATGGCTCTACGGGACCTGATGCAGTTACTGCTGCAGAGAGAAATGCAGCTATGTTGACAGCTAGAGCCGGTGGCAGAGACCCATCTGCAGTTCCGTCTATATGTCGCATTTCTGCTGCCCTTCAATATCCTGCGGGTGAGTATTGTTGTTGTCCTTTCCTTTTTAGATTCTTTGAGTATACTTGGGTGTTCTGGTGATAGCATATTCACATGGATCATTTCCTTTTGGCCTTTTGTTAGTCCTAACTTCTATGAACTGGTGAAACTTTTCATCTTGGCATTGAGTTCTGTTACATCTTGACGAGCTTCCTCTATCAAGAGTCGTTTGAATCGATAAGGAAGAATCAGAATAGTTACTGTGGGGTCCCTATGTATACTTATGGTTTCAGATATCAAGGAACTAGATTCCTGCAATAAAAGTGAAACAACTTATCACTCCGCTTATTGTTTAACGAGGTAACTGCTGAAGTAAATGCTTGCTTATGTCTAAACGGTCAACTCAAACATAAACATTATTAAAATGGGGTGTGTATATGTAATTCAACCATGGATCTGGCATCTAAAATGTTCTTAATATCCAGTTGTTTGTATTTAATGTTCTAGTGTCTGTCTGGGGAGGATAATTTGGTTTGTTCTTTTTCATAAATTTTTCGATGAAGACCCTGTTTTGTTCATGCGAGTTATCTCATTTTTTTTGTGTGGACAATCTTTATAATATATTTTTTTGCTGTATTTTGTACTTTTCCTGATTTGTATGCTTCAGTTTGGAATGATGAGAGTTGCAACTACGAATATTGAACTGGCCAAAACATCTTGAACTGCTACTGGAAAAAGCCTTTGTAATATGGGCGAGTCTGATAAGGCATTACAAATAATTAAAACCAAAATAAAAATAAAAGAAAAAGAAAGAACACGAAGTTCACGCGCTACTCGCTGCATTATTGCCTACTGAATAACCTAGCTTGGTTATTTTGAAATATAACCAATATATAAGGCGACAGCAGCGATCAAATTGATGCCATCACGTACATCATGCACGAGCAATATTTTGATTTGTCATTTTCTCATTTTTGACTGGTTATCCAGTTTCAGAAGCGATCCCACGGACATCTGCTTTCCGATCTTTCTAAAATTGAGTCATGGTAAAATATTGTTTATTTGATCATCACACAGAATTTACAATAAGAATACTATATCTAAGAACCACCTCTTTATTCAGCTAAATACAAGTAAAAAACTGCTTAAGCTTCTTATTTCCATGTCTATTTTATTTTTTCTTAGTACTGCAGACAGCATAATCGTTCTACTTGAATATTTTAAATAAATTTTTTTGACTTCTATTAAACACCATGTTTTGTTTTTTTTACAATTTTCTTGTTTCCTAACCCTTTAAGTGAACTTTGATGTTTGGTTTTGGATTATATTTTGTTTGCAATATCTTGTTAAACGTACCAGACTCCCATGTGTAACGACATATTTGAACTACTCCCATGCGTAACGACATATTTGAACTAACTCAATTATGCAGGTTCAGATGGTTTGGATGCTGGTCTAGCATCAGTCCTGGAGTCGATGGATTTTTGTTTAAAGCTTCGTGGTTCTGAGGCATGCGTATTGGAAGACTTAACAAAGGCAATTAATATGGTTCATGTAAGAAGGGATCTTGTCGAAAGTGGTCATGCTTTGCTAAATCATGCTCATCGTGTACAACAAGAATATGATAGGTACAATGAGCTTGTCTCCTTTTCTGTGTGGATGTGTGCATGTTTTGTGTTCATTTTAGTGATACCATTAACTTATAAATTTCTTCAGGCATGAGGTGTTATATTGATGCTATGACCATATACTTGAGACAAATTTTATGAATAATCTAATTACAATACGGTTCCTTGTTTTGACAATATTTGCCTTAAAACAGGTCTTCGCCTTAGGTGACCTATGTAGTTTGTTCTCCTTTTGTCAAAGAAGAATGTGCATGGTGTGTTGCATTATGTGCGTGCTTAAGTACAAAAGTAGTGCGAAAAGTTAAAAATGCTCTGATTTGGTTAATATTCCAGGACAAAGATGTCACCGTTTTTTTTTTTTTTTTTTTTTTTTTTTCCTACATTTCCATCAACCTTGTGCAGGACAACAAATTACTGTCTGAATGTAGCTGCTGAACAAGAGAAAACCGTCACAGAAAAATGGTTACCGGAACTAAGTAATGCAGTTCTAAGTGCTCAAAAATCTCTTGATGACTGCAAGTACGTCAGAGGCTTGGTAAGTGCTTTGCAGTATGTTGAATTGCGCTCTTCGTCAATCCTAGTAACCTACGACTTTTGAAGGAAGATTTGAAGTCCAGATAGCCCAACCTCAGCATGTTACCTATATAAACTTTGCTATATCCAAGAAACATGGGTGCATGCAAACAAATGAACATTTCAAACAATGTTTGTCTTATTGCTATATTATTTTATTCTCTTATGGTGTTTTTTGTAGCTTGATGAATGGTGGGAGCAACCAGCATCCACTGTGGTCGATTGGGTTGCTGTTGATGGGGAAAATGTCGCTGCTTGGCAGAATCACGTGAAGCAGCTTCTGGCATTTTATGACAAGTAAATAAAACCCTGAACGAACATTGTTTGGCAGTTAAAGGTCAGTTCGTGTGAGCTCTTTCAGTAGCACAAATTGTTTCCGCTCTACATGTCGATATCAGTCAAATGAAAATGATTGCACAATCATGTCGATTTTATTAAATGGTAATTTGCTGCCTTGTTTTAGTTGGGAGACTCGGAAACGATGTTCATCCGGTTGCGAAAACTCGTGGATGAAGTTGTTAATGGATATTCTAGCATTGAAGGGATGTTTGTAACATAACTTGACAGATTTTGGTTAAATTAAATTTGTTTTTGTAAGCATTGCATTTTCCTCTTTATCTGGGAATAAGAGTCATGTGTATGTGCTTTCATAATGTTGCAAACTGAAAGTCTGAGTGTTGTATGTGTTATCTTATTTTGTGTACCATAATGTGTTGGCTTTGATGGGATGCAAAATCAATTTCTACAGTGGCCTAATGCAGTAGCCTCTGAACACTTGCCCAAACTAAACCTTTGTACTCTGTGGCCGATTTGGTAAGGCTACTTTAGTTGTCTGTGTTGGCCCATGTAGTAAATGCTTAGTGGGATCCTTTACTAATAAACAGTTGGCTACTTAGGTACCTAAATGTCCCAATTCAGAAGATCGGGACTATGTATTGTTTAAGAAATTTTGTGTAAGAACTCATGCTAACGGCCTTGGTTCAAACACAATAAAATGTGTAAACCCGCACCAACGATTTTGGTTGACATATTAATAAGTGAAAAAACCTGTGCAATCGGCCTCGATTTTTCACGAAGAAAGTACTCGTATAAAGTAAATTATTTCAATTATTAATATTAATTTGATGTACAATTTAATCTAATAAATATAGTTTTTAAAAAATATATAATTTATATGTAATCGTATAAAGTAGTACACTTAATAGATCAATACGTTGCACTTTATAAAACAAATCGTTGCACTATATAAAACAAACCGTTGCACTTTATTATAATATTTTTATAAAAAATCTATTTATAATTTAATATTTCGAGTTTTCTAATATATTATAAAAATATCAAAAATATTAAATAAAGATACTAAGTGAAATATTATTTTAAATAATTTTTAATATTATAAAATATAAAAATTATGTTAATAAATAATAAATTATACTTTTACAATAATAAATAATAAATTATTCTTTTTATAAAAATATTATAATAATCAATAATAATCAATAATTTTTATAATAATAAATAACAATAAATTTTTATAATACAAAAATTAGTAACATAATAAATATATTTTTATCATAAAAAATAATAAATTATCTCAATCTAGGTTGGTTCGATGTACAAGACTAAATCTAGTTTTCAAAAACACATAATTTATATGTGATCATATAAAGTAGTGCACTTTATATATCAATACGATGCACTTTGTAAAATAATATGTTGCACTCCATAAAATAACTCGTTGCACTTTATCATCACACTCCACAATTAATGTCAAAACTAAAAATAAAACATTAAATATAAAAAGTTGAAAAAGAAATATAATTTTATAATATAAATAATAAATCATATATATTATTATATTATTTAGATTAATTCGATTAATCGATCGAATAAATAGACCAAATAAATCAGATTTAGTTTAGTGTAGTTCGTACTATTAAAAATGCCTGCAAGCGGACGCACATTATTTCTATACGAATTGTACTTTTATGACTATCAGATTGCACATTTCGGTTCGATTATTTGTTTATACTTTCAAATCACGATTATTGGAGTTCGCTTTTGGTTTCACTTTTAAAAAATAACATAAGTAA